ATCAAAATCTGCTTAGGTTTGGATAGCTTACTAAGAGTCACTATGCTCTTTTTTTAAGGATAAATGCTGCACAATGTTTGATCCTAAAGGTGATGAATTGTTCACAGTGGAGATGAAGAATAGATGCTATCCAATTGATTGGAAGCACGTAAAATAGAAGGCCTATATCAGTACTGTTAAGGCTTCAGAACTGTGGCATAGGAGACTTGGGCATTTGCACTACAAATCTTTGCAAGATATGGCTACTCAGGAGATGGTTGAAGGATTGCCTAAGATCACTAAGCCTGAGTATGTATGTGGCACTTGTCAGTTGGGAAAGTAAAGCAGAACTGCATTTCCAAAGAGTAGGGAGTGGAAGGCTACTGAGAAGTTGTAGTTGGTCCACACTGACTTAAGAGGACCTATGAAGACTATACCTCTTGGTGGAAGCAAGCACTACCTAGTGTTTATTGATGATATGTCCAAATACTGTTAGATATATTTTTTTAAAGCTAAGTTTGATGCATTGATGAACTTTATTAAGTTCATAAGTTTAGTTGAGAATCAGGCAAACACTACCATTAAAACACTTAGAAGTGATAGTAGGAAAGAATTCACAACCGTTGAATTTGAGAAATTGTTGACTAATCTTGGTATCACATATCAACTCACAGCAATTTATAGTCCTCAGCAAAATGGAGTTTTTGAAAGGAGGAATAGAACACTTATGGAGAGGGCAAGGTGTTTGTTGTTTCAAAAGGATATTTTTAAGTTGTTCTGGGCAGAAACAGTTAATACAACAAATTACTTACTAAACAGAACCAAGACTAGGTCAATATCATGTAAGACTCATTTTGAGTATTGGTTTGGTTTCAAACCTTCAGTAACTCATGTGAAGATCTGTGGTAACATTTGCTCTGTGAAGATTCCAGATAAGAAGAGGTCAAAGCTTGATAAGAAGAGTGCTGTGACAATCTTCAATGGATACAGTGAGTATACAAAAAGATACAAGCTGTATGATGTGAAAACTAAGAAGATATTGGTCCATAGAGATACCAAGTTTGATGAGTTTTCAAAATGGAATTGGGAGAGGTCAATGATTGAAAATGTTGAACAATTAAAACCGGTTTATGAAGATGAGCAAGATAAGACAGATATTGAAGATAAGAGCCTTGTAGTCAGAGGAACTAGATCCTTACAAGATATATATGCAAGGTGTAATATTGCTATCACAGAACCTACCTGCTATAGTGAAGCTGCTAAAGATGTAAGATGGGTGTAGGAAATGGAACAAGAGATGCAAATGATTAACAAAAATGGAACTTGGTTACTGGTTGACAAACCAATAGATCAACACATTATAGAAGTCAAGTGGAAATATAAGACCAAACTAAATGCTGATGGATCAATTAACAAACTTAAAGCCAGGTTGGTGGTCAAGGGCTATTCTCAAATTTATGGTATAAATTATTGGGAGACCTTTGCTCTAGTTGCAAGATAGGACACTGTAGGGATGCTCACTACCTTAGCTACTAGAGAGGGTTGAAAAATATTCCACCTTGATGTGAAGTTAGCCTTTTTGAATGTTCACTTTACTGAAGATATCTTGTCAGTTAAAATTCTACCACGCAAGTATACGTATCGAATAAATAGTATATTA